CTTCTTCTACCACCCTGAGAAGATGTTCCTACGAATAGTGCAGTACACCAGAAAATAAAAGTAAAAGGTAGTCAACTTGTTTTAAATAATATAATCTTTGAAACTTTTATAGAACACTGTCAGGTGACCAACCTGTCAATAGTTATTCAGGCAGGTGCTCATGGTCCCAGCTACTCCAGAGGCTGAGGCTGAGGCACGAAGATCACTGAGCCCAGGCTTCGAGGCCAGCCAGGGCAACAAAGTGAGCCTTGTCTCAAAAAAAAAAAAAAAGTTATTTAATTGCAGACTATTTAAGGAAGACAGTGGAAGTACTGTGCTTTAACATTTATTGCTATGAGCCACCTATGTTGAAAAGGAAATTGATGCCACTTTAAAGTAGGTTTAAAGTTGCTGACTTCAGGGGGCTGGGGCTGTAGGTCAGTGGTAGAGCACTTGCCTGGCATGGGTGAGGCACTGGGTTCAATCCTCAGCACCACATAAAAGTAAATAAATAAAATAGTTATTTTTTTAAAGTTGCTAACTTCATTTTGCATTATATTCTCCAACTCCATCCATTTACCAGCAGATGCCATGATTTTATTCTCTTTTATTGCTATTATATATGACTCAGGGGAAAAAAATACCACTAAATCAAATGAGCCATCAATCCAAGGAGTAGAACATACCAAGCAGAGGGGAGAAAGGAAATAATCATGAAAAGGGCTCAAATTAATGGGTTAGTGAATTTTAAAGGAGACTTGCTTAACAAAAGCCAATTGATTAGGGGTGTGTGTGTGTCTGTGTGTGTGTGTGTGCACGCGCGCATGTAGTGTGCAGGGGATCAAACCCAGAATGGCCCAGCAAGCAAGAGGCCCTGGGCTACAGTACTAGCACCACTAAATGTTTTTAAAACTCTGTCATGTTGTCTTAATCCCAATAACTGTATACTTTTAAAAATCTTCCCAAGTATTAAAAAGATTTAATTTTCTTCAGATAGTTGTACTAAGTTAACATAAAGTGAAATTCAAACCCAATTTTCAAAAATGCTAAAAAAGAAAACACTACAAAGCAGCTGGGCACTGTGGCTCATGCCAATAATCTAGCAGATCTGGAGGCTGAGGCAGAAGGATCACAAGTTAGAGGTCAACCTCAGTAACTAAGCAACACCCTAAGCAACTTAGTGAGAATCTGTCTTAAAATATTTTAAAAAGAGCTAGGGATGTAGCTCAGTGGTAAAGCACCTCTGGGTTCCATCCTGAATATAAATAAATAAATAAATAAAAACCTTATCAAAGTAATCTAGCATTATATTATATACATTAATCATATATATATATATATATATATATATATATATATATATATATATATGGCATATAAAATACCCACAACATATAGCAATTGGAGAGAAGAATAGCCAATTAGGGTTGGTTTTATAAAGGCAGAAATGAGACAACATTGGAAAATCCTGTTCTATAAACTTGGTAATATAACAGATAAAATTAAATTAAATCTCAAATTTTGTAACAACTTAGCAATAGAAAGGTATTTTCTGAAATCAGAGCAGGATATTTATATGAAACTTATATCCAAGATTATGTTTATGGTGAAACATTAAAGAAAATCTTATGAATTCCTATTAAAACTAGGAACAGAATGATTACACAGTCTTTATCAATGCTATTATTTGGCATTGAACTTAAAAGTGCTAGCCAATGTAATAAGACAAGGAAAACAAATAGGAAATATTAATATTAAAGAAGAAAAACACTATATATTGTCTACCTGGAAAAACAACCTAAAGTAAAGTATACTTCCAAGTCAGAGAAATAAAATGAACAGACCAATAGAAAAATGAGCAAAAGATGTAATTTAGCAAGTCATAAAAGAAGAAAGATAAGTAATTAATCAAACCAAAAGTCAATATTCCATGTTGCATCTATCAAATTTAATCAATTATTGAGATGCTTTGGGTAGGGGGAGAGATGCACTCTTATATTTGTTTCTTCAAAAACTGCGCCAAATTGGGGTTGTGGCTCAGTGGTAGAGCACTTAACTAGCATGTGTGAGGCACTGGGTTCAATTCTCAGCACCACATATAAATAAATGAATAAAATAAAGGTCCAGCAACATCTAAAAATATATATATTTTTAAAAAACTGCACCAATTTATGTTCTTATATTTGACAGTATGTTTTAAAAGCCTTAAAATGTACATACCTTTAATCCTGCAATTCCATTTCTAGAATGTAACTTTCTCAGTGTATTTAAATAAGTTTTGGGGCTGTGGTTGTGGCTCAGCGGTAGAGTGCTCACCTAGCATGCACGAGGCACTGGGTTCGATCCTCAGCACCACATAAAGGATTGTGTCCACCTAAAACGTAAAAGTAAAATATTTTTTTAAAATTTAAGTAAATAAATAATTAAATAAGTTTCATCGGAGGAAAAGAGGGATTGAATTATGTCCAAGGATATTGTTTTATCCAAAAATATTGAGGCAACTTACATAGTTAATTCAATGAATATATTCTGATGTATTCAAGAATAAAATATATGGGCACAAAAATGATCCTGAAATGCTTCATTTATAATTTTTGAATTATTCACAATCTATTTTAAGCAGAAAAAACTCAAGTTTCAAAATAATATGCAAAGCAGTTAGCATTTTTGTTATGCAGATGAGCCTTAGTTAATAATAGGATTATGTACCAATAAAGTCATTGTAAGTTAAAAACATCAGCCAGAGGAGACGCATGGAATGCACCTGACCTACTGAATTGCGGAGCTCAACAACACAGAACAATGCAGAGCCCTGGTTCTTACCTCTGGTGAGCAGGGGCTGATGGGCAGTGTGGGAGCCCAGCCCCATCTAGCATCACAGGGAAGAGAAGAGGGTACCACATGTCACAAGTCCAGGGGAACATCCACATTCAAAATCCAGTTTCTTGGGGCTGGGGTTGTGGCTCAGCCGTGGAGCACTCGCCTAGCATGTGCAAGACCCCAGGTTCAATCCTCAGCACCACCTAAAAATAAATAAGATGAAGGTATTGTGTCCAACTACAACTAAAAAATAAATATTTTTTTAAAATACAGTTTCTTCTGAATGCATGTTAATTACACTCCACTGTAGAATCAAAGAGTTGTTTAAGCAGAACCACTGTAGGTTGGAACTTTGTGTGTGTGTGTGTGTGTGTGTAAATGTGTTGTCTAAATGGCATAAAACGTTAGCATACACAAAGTGTTGATAGTGGTTATCTCTGAACAAAGAACTATGATTCTTTTTTAAATTTTGACTCTCTGTATTTTGAAGGATCTTAGATCCAAAACAGTGAGCAAGGTGAGTTGTAAGAGCAACAACTGTAATGAGGGATTCGAATGCACCCTTCTGTTTGAGGCCATGCTCAGAGGCCCAGGGTCAGGGTGCAGGCCAGGCTGGCCACTGGCTCCGGTAATGGTCTCCACGGGTGCTTGTTCTTGGAAGACTCCCAGGACTTCAGCCTGTTCAACCAAGTCTTAGAAGAGTGAGCTTGTCACCAAAGCTGACCCTCAAAAAGAATGCTATGAGGTTGCCCTGCCCTTCTCCAAAAATCTAATCTCAATTCTGTTAAACTGAAAAATCTAGCTACTATTTGCAGAGGACAGAGGAAGAGCAGCAGGTTTCAAAACTCCACAGGGTTACAATCAGCAAAATCCCACAAAGAAAAACTACAGGATCAAGAATCTGGTTTCTCCAACAAATAAATACCATGAAACAAATGAGAGTGAAAAAAAATAAAATAAAATAAACCAAACAAATTAGTAGAGTGTGGTGTCACATACCTGTAATCCAAGCAACTCAGGAGGCTGAGGCAGAAGGATGGCAAGTTCAAGGCCAGCCTGGACAACTTGATGAGTCCTGGTCTAAAAAAAAGAAAAAGAAAAAAAAAATACGAAAAAGGACTAAGAACGTAACTCAGTGGCAAAGGAGAAATTATTTTGTTAATGGCATTATATTCATTTACCCAGTACCAGAAGGGAAATTATTTTGTTAATATAATGGCATTTAAGAGAAATTTGTAAATTGTAATGCTAACTAAATATTAGATGATATTAAGAAACAATTGTTAAAAAGAACAAATAAAAAAATAAATTAAAAGAAAGAAACAAATGTTAATTTCTCAGGTGCTATCATGTTTTTTTTAAAAGGTCCGTTAAGGGAAACACTGAAATGATTACAGGTGAAATGATAAGGACACGTGGGGTTTTGCTTCAAAACAATATTAGGTGAGTGCTGAGGACGAAGCTGTGGCAGAGCTTGTGCAGGGCCCTGAGTTCCATCCCCAGCCTCACAGAAATAAATAAATAAATAAGAAGACAATATGAGGGGAAATGGATGCAGCAGGATCGACGTTGATTCAATGCTGAGTGCACAGGGCTTTATCTTTCTATTTGATCGATTTTGTGTGGTTCAAATTTCTCCATGATAAAAAATTTATTTTTCAAAAGCAAAATTTTATTTTTCCCATCTTTACAGTGAAGCTGATACGCTTGATCTATAAATTTGCAATTAAGAAAACAGGAATCTTTGCCAGTGGGCATTGTGAAAATAAAATGTAAAGGCCAAGCTAAGAGGACATCCAGCAGCCCCAGAAGTGGGCCCTTGTCACCCTCCTGATTCAAGGAGGCGGAGGCTGGGAACGCCCTCCTGGGGCCAGGTTTCTGGTGCAACTCTGGTTTGCTCGCCCTCAGGCCCTCAGCGTCATCTCCTGGAACTTGGTGGCTTGAGTCCTGGTGCCCAGAGTTTTCAAAGCAGCCATCCTGAGGGGAGGGGGCACTCAGAGCCTGCCTGTGCCTGTCCTGGTTCACTCCTGGGCCCAGCAGCCTCCTGCTGGGCTGTGTTGTGGCTCTTCTCCAACTTGAGACCCCAGTCCCACAGCCAGGGAGAGGCGGGCGTGCACCCGACATATCTGCATGCCTCCCACCCTTCTGCAGGTGAACCCCAAGCCAGTCGCCCTACAGTGCATCTCCCCCCTTCCCACCAGGTGCTGAGGACCTGCGCGCCAGCCCCGGGCGTGATCGAGGTTCTTTTCAACTCCTACGCTCAGCTGCACGTGTCCGAGTCCTGGAAGGAGATGATTCCTGAGGAAGTGTATCAGGTGAGGAGATGCTTCTTTCTCCCACTCGGGTACAAGATTTTGCTGTCTGCGCATCTGTGCGGAGTTTTTCATGGATCCAGGAAGTGTGAACCATTGAGTTGGTGCGGCTCAGCGGTAGAGCACTTGCCTAGCACATCAAGCCCTGGCTACCATCCCCAGCACCAAAAAAAAAAAAAAAAAAAAAAGGTTAAGAGGTAAGGAGGAGAGGGGACACTGGGGCACATTTACATGTTTCTGTTTTCTTCTGGCGTCTGAGTGACCACATAGCCAAGAGCCAGTTATTGTACAGTCACCTTCCCTGTACATGGGTTCTGCATCCAGATTTTGGATTCAGGGATCAAAAATCTTAAGGGACAAACTACACTGAGCATGTGCAGGCTTTGTTTGGCTTCTGGCCCTTCTTTCGTGAACAATACAGTGTGACATCTGTGGGGGGCATCCTAAGTCACCTAGAAGTGATTGAAAGTCATCCCAGGAGGATGTGCCTGGGTTACCTGCAAACACTGTGTCATTTACAGAAGAGACTTGAACACTTGCAGATTTGGGTACCCTCAGGGGTCCTGGAACCTGTCCCCCACAGATACAGCAGAGGATGGTGAGGGTGCTGTGGCTGCAGGGAGCACACAACAGCCCACACTGGCTTGGAGGCTGCTGGAGTGTAGGGAAGCAACATCAGGGAAGGGATTTGAAGCCGCCTGAGTGTGCAGGTCCTGGCTCCTTCTCTGGACATGCCAGTCTGGACCTGAGTGTGGGCTTCCTCTTCTGATGGCTCAAGGTGTAACTCATGTCACATGTGGTGGCGCATGCCTGCAATCCCATTGACTCAGGAGGCTGAAGCAGGAGGATTGCAAGTTTAAGACCAGCCTGGGCAACTTACCAAGATTCTACCTCCAAACAGAAAGGCCAGAGGTTGGAGATGTAGCACAGTGGTAGAAGGCCCCTGGGTTCAATCCCAGAACCAAAAAAGGAGCAACCCGCACAGCAAAGGGGGTCACATCCACACACAGCATGGTGCACGGGTGACTGTCAATTGCACAAAGAGGAAGAATGTTTCTTCCTAGATAATCCTCTCCCGGTTCACTGGCTGCATCAAGTGCATGTTAATGAATGCCAGGGATCACCATGCGCCCATGGCTTGGCCTGGGCTCTGGAGCCCATCACTGGCCAAAGGGAAGGCTTGTCAGGACTGGTTTGACAGGACGCCACCCTTGGAGCTGCAGGGCTGCTGTCAGAGAGGACAGGGCAGGAAGGGATTGGAGTGCACAGCCCAAGTCCCTCGAGACCACGCCTCCCTGACTGGGTGGGAACTACATTGTAGAAGCACAGCTGGAGGACAGCTCTCCTCCCTGCACTAAGCTGGGGAGCCACAGAGGGACGACTTTCTATGGTGGCCTGGTGGGGGAGGAATGTGGGTGGGTTCCGTGCGCCCACTTACACTCCCTGCGCCTTCCTTTCCAGATGCACGAGCCTTTCTACCAGTCTTTCTTCGCCTTGGCCCACACCCCGCGCTGCCTGCAGCATCTTTGCCGCTGTGCCATTCGCAGATGGTCTGGAAAAAACTGCTTTCACCTCATACCCCTGCTGCCCTTGCCCAAGTCCCTGCAAGATTACCTACTTTTGGAGCCAGAGGGTGTTTTGCACTGAAAGAGCTTGGCAACCAAGGCTGCTGGTCCTCATCTTGGCCCTTCAGGGAGGCCCTGTGGGGAAGGGAGGCCCTGTGGGGAAGAGCGCCTGCTGAGGAGGGGCACATCTGCATGGGCCTCCCGTGCCCCTCACTCCCATGTGACCAGCGGAAGCACAAAGCTGCCAAGCCTCGGGTTTGCCTCAACATGGAATTGGTAATGAACATCCTTCCTGCATCTCAGGATTGCTTGTGAGGCTCACAGGACAGCGTGACTATTGCTGCACTTGCTGTTGCAAAGTACCTTTCAACAAAAGCTGAACTAAAAGGCATATGTCTTTTTCTAAGATCTGTCCCTGACCCCTAATGAACTGGCAGCATGCCTACTGCCCCATAGCCTGTGGACCCTCAGCCTCATAGAGAAGGCCTCCTACCCCCTCCTGGAGCCTGGCCACTGGGAATGGGTCTATGCCCAGAACATGCCAGGCCCACCTGCTGAGAGCACTCTTGCTTCCATGACAGGGCACCTCCCTGGAGCCTGTCACTGCTAGCAAGCAACAGCAATCCAGCACTTTCCCAGGAGGACCTTAAAGGGGTGTCAAGTCAGACTTTGGGTCCCATAGGAGTCCTTTGTCTGACACCCTCATTCCACCCCAACAGACCCCTCTGGGAAGTAGCCTGGAATGCACAGGTCCACAGGTGTTGCCCCAGCTCAGCCGAGCCCACAGAGCAAGAGAGAGGGGCTCATTATCTAGGAACGTGTTGACCTTGTCTTCTGTCTGCTCTTTTCCTATGCTGTGACATCTGGGGCCTTGCTGACATGAGGGACAGCCCTTCCCACTAGCTAGTCCCTAGAAACAACTGGCCACAGAGCATCTTTTCACATGCATGCCAACCAGGCCAGAGCACACAGCCACCTTCTTTATTTGACTCTCACTAAGGGCCACTGTCCATCTGTCCTGATCACTCCAGGACCACGAACTAGACAATGAGGGACAGCTCCTATGCCCGAGAGCCACTGAAGTCTTCACACTAACCAGACCTAAGCCTGTTCCTCCCCCAGCTCCTGACCAATGCTCATGCTTCCCTGCATGGCCCTGTGGCATGGTGAGCCTTCTTCTCTCGGGAACTATGAGAGATAAGCAGCTCAGTGATAGATACTCATCTCTCAATGTATTGCCTTACTTGACCTCAAGTTTTCTATCAATACACTTGTGTGTGTGTGTGTGTGTGTGCGCGCGCGTGCACTGAGGATGGAACCCAGGGCTTCCCTCATGCTGGGCAGGCACTTTGCCACTGAGCTACAGCCCCAGCCCAACACACTATATTTCAAAGCAAGAACTCTTTATGGTCATGGTATGAGGATAAGCAGTGGCCCCTTTGTTTTCCAATTAAAGCCAGAGCAAGACCCCTGAGGCCAGGGTACACACTCCTACTGTCACTGTCTGGAAGCAAGTTCAGGCCCCAGGACGCAGCTATAGCTTAAGAGGGGATGCTGTGTGCACCACGGGTGAGTAAAGCCCCCTGGCAAGAAGGGTCCATCCATGAGGAGGGCCACCATGATGGAGAAGACAGGCTGAACCTGGGTAGAGGGTCACATTTTAACATACTGGACTTTCCAAGGGAGTGATGAGACAGCTTGTCATCTTCCAACTCCTCCAGATGACCCATCCCCATCTCCATCCCACCCTTTAATAATGGACAATTGACCTGTCCTTCAAAGGGGATATGTAAACACTGTTTCAAGACCCCCAGAGGCCCCCAACCCAAGTAGATAACTCTCCCAGGCCCCTCCAGGTGTCATCGCTGGACCCAAAGGAGAACTTGAATGATGTCATTGCTGCAGGGAAGTGCAGGGCATGATGGATGGGCAGCCAGAAAAAAGGGTCCCCATCCTTTGGCAGATGGAAGGAAGCAGGGCTAGAGATGGGGGTTACAAATCAGGAGGCCCTGGGCCTCCATAGCAAGGCTTCTGAACCTCACTGTACAGGTATAAGGAACCAGAGGGCAGGTGAACAGTTACAGTCAAAAGGTGATGCTAGAAAGATGGCTTTGTCCTGGAAGGCGATACAGTACACTGGACATTGCATAGCTCATGGTAACAGCCTACAGATGGATTCAGAACTGGCTTTCTCCACTGAGCAGCAGAGACAGATACTGAAGTGAAACCAGCTGCAATTTGCTCACCTGGATGGCAGCTCTCACTAGCTTAGGGACCCATGAGATGAAATGGTATAAGGCAGGTCTTCTGCAGCCCCAAGTGATCTTGCTGAAATGTATCCAGCCACAGGTGTTTTTTATACCCCCCCCCAAAAAAAACCTGACTAATACAATGAGCATGCAAATATTTTTTCAAGATCCTGCATTCAGCTCCTTTGAATATTCACCCAGAAGTGAGACTGTCGAATCAGATGGTAGTTCCAGTTTTAGTTTTTGAGGAAACTCCATGCTGCTTTCCGTGGCTGCTACCCCATTTCATAGTCCCATCAACAATGCCCCAGGGTTCTGATTTCTCTGCATCCTCACCAGCTCTTGTTATTTTCTGGTTTGTTGTTTTGGTTTTCCTTTGACCTTTGTTCATTTATCTGACTAACCCAGACTAACCCTTCCTAGCAGTTGGCTGGGAATGGAGCCCAAGGCCAGGGGCTGGGAACATGGTGACATGGTGGCTGCCTGCCTTCTCCTGGAGCTCTTGACCAGGTGATCAGGACAACATGTCCTAGGGCTGCTATGAAATATGGGGTCTGTCCTCTCCAGCCAGCACCCTTGGTCATCATGGACCCATATGTGACAGTAACAGCCATAAGCTGGCTCTCCTGGGATGAGGGGCGTCCTCTATCCCACCCCCAACTCTTCAGGAGCATGACATCACCGCTGCAAGAGAATGACCAGGGAGGAAGCAGGCTCTGAACAGCAGTTCTCCTGGGTCCTGGTGGCTGTCCAGATGCGCTACATGCTGTCTCTGAATTATGACCATGACTGTATGGGGCAAAATGGCTTGTGCACTTGAGGCTATCTTAGTCATCAAATAAGGTACAATTCATTCATAGTTTTGCAGAATGTAATTACTGCTAGCAACTTACTTTGTTAGAGCCAAATAAATAAAATAACTGACAAAAAAAAAAGTTGTTTCACTGACCAGTCTAGCTATGCTCCATGCTATATTGCTGGAAAGTTCTAGAATTACAGGACTTGCATAAGGAAGAGACTAAGAAGAAAGGGAGGGAAGAAGAGAAGTAGGGAGAAAGGAGGTAGAGAGGGGACAAATTAGCTGAAATGAACATTGAAAAAGATATTCTATTTTAAGACCAGAATTCTCCCATTTTATTTCCTTTCCAGTAAACAAAATTTACCCTGGCATTTATTTTTTATTTTAAAAAAATCTAAACTTTTTTTCCTTTCTTAGATAGTCCACACTGAACATCATTTTTCTTGTTGCATATATAACATAAATTGATTCTGCGAGATCTAAATTGTTTTCTTTAATTTCACATTTAGATTTTAATGGTACATTCACCTGGTTCAAAATTGATAAGGTAATAAAAGAGTGAATGGCCCCTTTACCTGCTGCTTCTACTAAAATGAAAAAAAAAAAAACAGCCAAGGCATGGTTTTCTTCCTACTTTTATCAAATATCTTTGATTATTACCTGCCATCTGAACACAAGGATCCAAAATTACCTAAGTGACGTTCTCCACCAACACTGGTCCTAGAGAGGTGGGCTTCTCTGGTGCACCTATCCCCAGGACAGGAGCAAATGTTCACAGCTGGACCCCCAGACTCAGTGCACAGTCCTCGGGCAGTTAGTACATGGGCTGAACACTGTGTGACATGTTAGGGTTAAAATTTCAAATGCAGCATTGGGTCTATTTTTTAGTGTATTTGTGTCAGTTTAACTTTAAGTTACTTGATAGCCATCAATTCAGCAGGTTTGGTAGAAAATCAAAGCCACTGACTCCCTAGGTATAAGGAGGATTTGCTAATCTCAGTAAGTATATAATCATCAAATTTCCAATCTCTGAAATAACCGGTTAGACCAACATGATGGGGAAGGCTGTTGAACTTTTGCAGAGAACACTTAACCCTCTACAGAAATGGTTAAAGTGCAGACTTGGAGAATGAGCTGGTCTGCTCCAGCAACTCAGCCCCCTCCTCGAAACCCTGGGCTCTGAGAAGGCCCTCGGTCACTACAATTTCAGATGCTGATTGCTTCTTACCTCTTCAGGGTAGCTCCCAGGACCAAGTGATAAACAGAGAATACTTCATCTTTTATTCCATCCCTTCAAGGATAAATTATTCCTTTAGTCCTATTTTCTATATGCCACTGGGATATTCAAAAGCCCTGGCAGTTCAACTCTGATCAATGCTGTTTTTTTATTTCTCAGACTTAAGCATAGTTTGGCAGCATCAAAATACTTTTTAGACTCCAGGATTTATCTTGAAGTTGTTAACATCCTTCTATGTTAAAACAAAATCAATTTCATTAAATTGCTAAAATAACCCAGAGCCCTTGGGAAGATTTTAGAGGTGTGGAAATTCCTTGTTATAGAGTCCTGCAGGTGGCGCCATCAGCAAACGGTCTGACCCTCACCCTCCAACCTGCTCAGCCCAGAAAGAAGGGAGGAAGAGAAGAAAACAAGGAAGGACTTTAGCTCCCATGATAAAGGGAGAAGAGCTCGGGAAGGCCATGGAGTCATAAAGTACCATAGAGTACTGTGCTGCTATGATAAAAAATTCAGTAATTAAAATATTGATTATGGAATTGCTTGCTTCCTTCATATTAAATATGTGCATTTTATAGGCAATGTGTTTATAAATAAATATAATTTTCAGTTGACTCTTTTATGGTGTCATAATGACAGCCCGGTCCTCGTCTGTGTGTTAAACGTGTTCTTTAACAAAATTATACATTTACTGTTGCAATGTGACTAGCTGGGTTTGCAGCCTTCGTCTGATCTTCAGGAGCAGCATTTCTGCAATCCTAACACTCTGCTTAATCACTCCAATAAAAAGAGTAGATTTC